CCGCTCTCTAACATAGATAATGTTTCTAAGTGATCACTGTGCTTACAATAAAGTTTAATCAGAGCCGTTTAATTTGATATTATATTTATTAGGTCTATCTCTGTTAGTTTACAAAATAAAAGTGGTCACTTATACGGGGACACCCTGTATATTGGATTGGCAAATAAATTTGTTCGGCTTTTGCTTCAGTACAAGTTCATTCCGATTTATTCTTTTTTTTTCTCGGCGCTATTGCACAACTAGAATGTATATTTGTTTTATACAACCTGTCTGTGAATTTTGGTGTAGCTAACATCAATATTGTTGCGTGTTGCAAAAGGAATTAGAGCTCGTTTAAAATAAATCAACAATAGTAAAGTAACGCCTATGCGAGCCAACATGGATATTGGTTTATAATAATTTTTACAATATTCAGTCACACGCAAACTACGCGCCGCATATTCGTCGGTCATAGTTTAATCAGAAAACTGATGTGTCAATAACTGTTAGTCGTTAACATGGAGACACGTTTGCATGCAGTCTACACGTTTTTGTCACGTTCGTTCCTTCCTTCGTTTTTACTGACATTGACCTTTTCAATTCAAATTAACACATCAGTTTTATGATTAAATTATCAAGAATGAAGGAGCGAGCCGAATATAGAATTTACGTTGCGACGATTTATTCAGATATATATATACTGAAAAGGACTCAATTCAAGAGTCGGAACGTCTACTGCATACTACAATAAAGAATCATTTACGTCACATGAACTACATCGGCTCTTAAAGGCATTTATTTTACTATTTGTATTTATATAATTATATATGAACAATTTTTTCTCATTTCTTAAAACTTGATTTTTTGTAAAAAAAACAATGCAAAAATTATTCTTTTAATTATTTTTTATGTTTTCTTTTTATTATTATCATTTTTCTTGTATCAAACAATCATTTTACAAAGTAAAGAAACATATATGGATATGTATGGACATATTTTACATTTAATTATGTGTAATTATATATAATTACATATTTTTATATATGCAGTTTATATATATTTATATATGTTCTTATACGAAAAATTTTTTCCCGGAAAATCAGATCTCGCTGCGTTTCATTAAGACTCACATCTTTCGATCTATTGCCGAAAATGTTAAATAGCGTGTAAGGTTAAATTACAATCGAATATTCTTTTTATAAATATATATTTATAATAAAATACGATACGAGCCGTTGCGATTATAAATGTATGAGATAACAAGAATTAAAAAACATTAATAAATAGAACACATGATAACAAGTCGTATAATTAGCTAAAACACAATTAATAAATATTACAAACATTTCCTTGATATAGATTCTTTTCAGTGTATAAAATTTTATCGGTAATCATACTTTCAATAAAATACAGTACAATCATTGCGACCTCTCACCTCTCCGTAATCGATAGATGATGTTACTCTTGCTACTCCTAACACATATCTTGATAAATTATTGAAAGAAATTAATTCTTTTCATCTCAGACTTAAGTTCACTGTGTGAAATTGAAGAGGATGTTCTTAACTTCCTTGAATTATCTTTATAATTAATAAAGAGACTTTATAATTAATTTTTTATTGGTATCAGAAACCAATCTTTTCGGATCAAAGACATTAGAATAAATGGTGGCTAAAGTTTTATTACTTCCACACCCAGAGTTTTTTCTATAAAAAAAAATGTTTCTTTCATTATCAACATTTTATTAGATAATAGCTATCCATTAGACACGATTTTTTCACTATCATGACATCACAATGACTATCAGAAAGAGATTATTCAAAAAATTCCAGCAACTTAACCAGAATTCTTACATTGTCCCCAACAGAGAAAAGAAAAGTTATTTTATCAAAAATACTGCTAAAGAATTTATTCAATATTTTAAAAATGTTTCAAGATAGCATTCTTTAAGATTAACGAGCTAAATAAATTCATTAAAGTACATAAAGCCTATAGTACCCTATTCTATTCCACTCCAACGTCATCTATAAAATTAACTAGTTAAATTGTGAGTGTGAGACCCATGTAAAAGAAACTCACCGATTGTTAAAAACTAGAATTAACAAACACAGAAATCACATAAGAAAAAACACACAAACTTCTTATTATGGTTTGTCGACTGCTCGCATGATTTTGATTGGAATGATATTAAGATATATTTAGACAAGGAGATACAAACAATACTTAACAAACGTCTTATTTGTAAAACTGTATTAAAAAGCAATTGAATGTATTAAATTTTCAATAAAATATTGAACTTCTCTAGCTAATTTATTTCGACCTGATTGATTAACTAATTGTGATCTTTTTAAAAATTCTATTCAAAAATATATATACTTCTATTCAATAAATTAGATGGAATAATAAAATCTCATAAAGACATGCTTCCGGGAGACATGAGAAAGAACGTAGTCTATAAAATATCGTGCAAAGATTGCGAGGCAACTTATTTATGTTGGCCAGACGAAGAGAAAAATTAAAACCAAAATCTCCGAACACAGTAATGATATCAATCGTAACAGTGACACACATTCAGTGGTCACTGAACATAGACTGCGTTTCGATCATGACTTCGACTGGAGGAATGTCGGTGATTTTAGACGCAGAAAAATTCTATAGCAAAAGATTAATCTCTGAGATGTTACACATCACGCTTCAGAAAGATAATATTAACTTGCAATCTGACACGGAATTTTTACACCACGCATATGCCTCAATTTTAGCAAAATTTAATCAATAATTAATTAATGTATAAGTATATCATTTGCGCATGAGCTTTATTTGATATTGCTTTTATTATTTTTATACTTTTTTCGTATTTACATTTTTACTTATTGTTACGCGACATCGTTTTTATATTTATATTTATTATCATAGTTATACTTTTATCTATCATCACGACCTTAGAACATTTTATAATACGTTATTGCTCACATTCTGCACACGACATTATACATGACAAGGTGTACTCATAACACGATCGCTGCGAATTCTTATTACAACCGAATTGACTTATTCCGGAGTGTGGTGAGTGATTAGGCTTCGTGAATTGTACAGATTACATTACATTAGAATAATATAAAAATAAGAAGAAAATATTAGGCTCTGATATAATAAATACAAATGGTAAAATAAATGCCTTTAAGAGCCGACGCAGTTCTTGTGACGTAAATGATCCTTTATTGCAGTAAACATTTCGACTCTTGGACACATATATACATATGTGGTGTGTGTATATATATATATATGTATATATATATATATATTTATTTATATTTATATATTTACAATATAATATTATATATATATATTTCTTTATATACATAATTTTTAACTTGTTTATTATCTCAAGAATTCTTTTCAAGAATGAAGGAACGAGCCGAATATGGAATTTATATTGTGGCAATTTGTTAAGCTATATGTACTGAAGAGAACTCAATCCAAGAGTCTCAAAATGTTTACTGCATACTATTGTACGATAAAGGATCATTTAGGCCACAAGAACTGCATCGGCTTTTAAAGGCATTTATTTTATCATTTGTATTTAGAATAATATAACAGTTCATATCACTATACAGATGACAGATCTTTTAATCAGACAATTGGAAACAATGCTCACACATTACGGAACTTCTATTTATTGTCACTGCGGAATCACATGCGGAACGAGTGAAGATGAATAACTAAATGGTGTTTTTAATGTAAGGGTTTTTGTAACTAGCTGAAGAAGGCCTGAAGAAGGTAGAAACGTTCAATGTATTAAAGAATATTGTATTTAAAAATTAAGTTAGCCACTAATTACCGCGTTATTGACTCTAAGTGTCTATCCTAATTACCAATCGTTTTAAAATTCTGTTCTGATTTGTTTTTGAAGATGAAAAGGGATATATCCTCTCTCCATTTATTATTATTAACTATACACTACATACCTGCGACATTTACTTTGTGTAACGACTCGTCTCTTCTCTCGTAAGTCAATTGTTCTTTTTCTTCTCTCTTATCGCTTTACAAAGCGATGAGCATATTGCCAAATTAGTGGAGCATTTAAAAATAAAGAATTTTCGGAAAAATCCTATGGTGAGAATTGAAACTATACAATAAAACCAGAAGAAGTCATTCGACAAGAAAAAATAAGTAATTGGAAAGAGCTATTTACCACAGAAATCGAAAAAGTTCAACAAGTAAATCGCTGATAATTTGAAAGATACAGATCTGTCATTTCCTGTTTAATAAAGTCAAAATAGAAAGAATACATATTAGATATTGCTTTTATTTAGACATTTAAATTTTCTCTATTTACACTGTACTTTACGTTCGCTCGTCCTTGGCCGATTTATCTTATATATATTTGTATTTATATACTACTATATACCACTATACTTGTTGTATTTTACCAAATTAATTATCGATTAAGTTAATATCAAGCTTTCGTCACCCTTAAACTTTATTAATTTGATATGAAATAGTTATAAAAAGTAAATTATAGATTAATCGATTATTATTATTGACGCGTTCAAGATACTATGAGGATTATGGAAAATTAATCTTTTGAAATCGATTACTTGGAGAGGATCGATTTATTTCTTCATCTCTATTCCTGTCCCACTCTGTTACACTTGTCCCACTACTTCACTTTTCAATCATGTGACTATGCGCACAAATCGCATACAAATGCGATAAATCACTTGAATATATATGATATATTTACTGTCGAAAAAGATTTGCATTCAACATTACAGTCGAGACGCGAAATAGGACGTAAAGACACCCTAATCGTATTAAGAAAATCAGAATTTCATTTCATCACAAAACATGTCTTTTAAGAATTTGATGATAGAGCGCATCGAAGATGAACTCGCGATTACTCTGTCGAAATTGTATCCGATTCACAAGCGCGGTTTCGTTAAGATCGGCGAGAAGAAATGGTTTTTGTCACACGGATACATTAAGAACGGCGAAAAAATTTATAATTTCAAAATTTGTCCGGATGACGTATGGATCGTTACTTATCCTCGATCAGGTAAGTCATCTTCCTTAATAAAATACATCAAAACGTTTTAATTTTTCGCAATACAGACCTTTTATTTGTTTCTCGAAGAAATATTTCAGTTTTTTTTTTGTAATTAATTTTAGTTTTTTTTTTAATTAATTGAGAGAAGGCCAATGCACGGTCAACAGTAGGATCTTGGTGCTATGCTTGGTGCTAATA